AGGATATAAAGTATCATTCTTTCAGATCTTCACGTTATACCTACGTCAGAAAGCACGAAGAAGCCCTAAATCGTCGTCGAGCTGCGGCACATCACGACTCCGCGTACCGAACAAACTCGCATCCACCAGCTCTGGGCGCTGTCATCTTACCGATGACATCACGGCTCTCGAGAGGTCACGTGACGAGTCGTCACTCGGTTGCTACGGAAACCGAGCCAGCTCAGCTCGTTGCTATGGTACCGCGTGTGACCAATCGCGGCGAGAGGCGGCACAGGGAAAAGCGTGGCGCTACTCTGGCAGCTACGCTGCCATATCGAGTGGCTCTAGGTGTAGCCAGCTGGATTCAAGCGGACAAGCTCCAACCAAGTTATTGCAGCCCACCATAGCCAAGTCTAGCCAAGTTCCCCCATACCCACACCGTTGCCTACCCAGATAGCTGTGCTGCCAGAACTAGTCGGTATTTCTTTTCCTAAGCCGCTAGACGGCGTCGTCGGCGCCGCAATTCTCAAGATGGCGGCGCCGTTAAAGAAAAGGTCTATAGAGTAACAGTGGCTTTCAGCGGGCATCCTGGGTCCAATGAAATACGAGCTTGAACCAAGGAACATCGCATAGCGGCAATTCCCTGCCATTCCATGGCTCACCCTACCTTCGATCTTGCAACATGCCCGAACACTGGCTGTTGCTTTTATTGAATGGACCAGGGAATTCCCACGAACCACCATGGAACCCCAAAGCTTGGCAGAGGCATTGCTACCTTAGCCATCTCTGACCGAGGAAAATCAATAGACAGCCAGGGTACATCAAATACTGGCAGCGGCTTGTTTACCCTGGCCATCAATGACCAAGGAAATCGATTGGACAACCAGAAAAGACGCTCCCTGGCAGTTCCGTGGCTTTCTGGGGCAAGGAAAGACTGAAACGCCAGGCTGGCATACAGACGTAAATCGCTGGGCAGTCGTGGCCAAGCTATCACAACTAAGTGCCAATCCTGGCCCCAGCTAAACCAAGCAAGTGTGGTACCTGGGTTTTTTGTCGATTAATTTTTGGCGTAGAGCAACAAAGAACCGAGACGACCAAGACGCGTCGCACTAGCTAGAACATTTTTTATTGTTGGAACTCGCACCAGTTGCGAAAATCTGGACGACCCGCGCATTTAGAATGTTCCAGGCAAAAGTATGGATGAAAATAAGTCTGGAAAGCATCACAAGTTCTCACAGGCACTTATTTAGCCAGTCTGCCTGTGAACGTCGATTTCGTCACTATTCTTGCCCTGGACCAGCACCGTAATCACAAAGTCACTAAACGCTTCAAGCGTTTCGGTTCCGAACGTAGTTTTCTTCCTGCTCTGGACACGTCTTAGAACGAGCAAACTGAGTCGTGACAATAAATTTGAGGGATGTATTTCTGCCCACAAAATTGTATTTAATTACAATTGTATTTGAAATACCCACGCTTTAATATTTAAATACACACGTAAAATACATTACCCAATTTGTAATTAAATACAAATGCAAAATACACAAAGTATTTGAAATACGTGTTTCAAATACTTGTATTTGAAATACTGCCCTGCCCATCCCTGCTCTTTAGTTTACCGTTCTTTTTATTTGTTTTGTTTTGTTTTGTGTTGCATCAGGACGATTCACTTCTTAAAGGGGGAAGTAATGCCGGCGCGCGCAGCTGGCCGAGTAGGCAGCCTGCGCGTGGCCTAACGGTTATCGTGCCTGCCTCTCACGCGAAAGGCCAGGGTTCGATTCCTGGGAGCAACGCATATTTTGTTATTCCTGCAATTTAGTTTTCTCGTAAAGTCGAGAATTCTGTAGCTTGTTCGAGGTCCGAATGTTCTACGCGTCGAACATTCTACGCCGATTACTCCAGAAGCTCGCGCATGTACATAAGGGGCTCCGCGTGGCGAGCCGGAGTTGATTTTGCCCCAGTTTTCGACTCTGCTGTCACGCCGCCTTCAACACCCACGACGCTCTGCTTTCATCTGTTCCCTTTTTATTTTAGGGCACAAGTTCGCCCCATTAAACGTTTAATTTCTTCAGTTTTATTCCCCATCAATTGTAATTCATGAAAATATGTGTTGGCTCCCTAAAGGGATTGCGAAGAGGACAATCAATATTAACCAAACATCTGACAAGCACGCGCTCCCGTGCAATTAATTCATGAATTCACAGAATAACTCTCTTCACCCCCTCGAAACCCGCCGCCTAATTTCAGTACATTGTCTGCTTCATCGCGTGCATTTTAATCCCGGTCAATCAGGCTCCTCACTTTTAGAACCACCGAATTAATTCAATATCTCATCGTCAAAATCATAGAAAAAGCTTCAAGCGCATCTTTGGTTCCACAACCGCATTTAATAACTCAGCACTTCCTAACGCAATCGAGAACTGCATCGATCTTCCAGAAGCCATTGTGAACATATAATACAAAAAAAAATGTTTTTTTTTTTTGTTTTTTTTGTAATGCGCTATCCAGTTATTCTTTCCCACCAAGGTCCCCCGCTGCATCCAGAATTTTGCTGTTTTGCTGTTCTGATGCCTTTATTGCTCTGTCATTTGTGCGTCAAAGTGCATATTTTTATTCGCATTGTAATCGATTCTAAATATATATATTTTGAATCGCGACGTTTTGGGTTCTTGCAGCGCATGCTAGCACTTTAACCTCATTTGCACATCAGCTTTCCTCTATCTATATGTTTTCGCTCTGCAGTTGCTTTTCTCTCCCTGTAATACAAGATTTTTTTTTTGTTTTAGAATTTTTATTTGACCTTGTACTTATTATTTGATTTTATCTTGGGTGATGCTTACACTGAATGTACCTCCCCCCCCCCCCCCCCCCATCATGTAATCTCCTTTATCGGGCCTTTGAGGCACCGTGAATGAATAAATAAATAGCCACAGAACGGTTGTCCTCGAGTAGAGTACGGCTCCCTGCCGCGCAGGGGCGCTGACAGCCATCTATATGGCAGTGCTGTATTCGAACCGTAGATCCTCTCATACCTCACCGGAGGCGCCAGAAGACAGCACGCGCGTATCCGGTCCGATCGTGCTTAAGGAAGCCTAAGAAACCGGTGCTGTGTAAACCAACCTGTAAAGATTGCATAGTACCGGTTTGGCCAATCTTGGTTTGCCACAGCAAGGCTTTTGCCTCCGTAATTTCAGGATTACTCCCTTCAAAATCAAAACTGCAAGTACCCTCCCCCCCCCCCCCCCGAACCACCCCTTCTGAAAAAAAAAAAAAAAAAGATATGCGGACGCCCATGACTTCTTGTGGCAAGTAGGTTGCACATTTCACACAAGATAAATACAATAATTTCAGTGTAATGGACACATTTTTAGAAATTGCAGGCGAAGTAGGGTGTTATTATGAATACACGTGAGATTATTAGCCTGAGCTCAAGCACACTCTCTCGCTCAAAAGAAGTTGTCTCGTGTTGGATTCAGAAGCTGCAGCGGGCAAGATTAGGCTTCCCAAAACTTCTCTTATGTACCCAGCGATATTTCTTATCTCCACCGAAATTCGCTCGAAGAAGTTTTATCCTTTTTTTATTCTCGAATGGAACTAAATGTTTCATGCAAGGGGTGTTCAATCCCAGTTTTTCTGCAGGTGCCACCAGTTCCTTTAAACAATAGTGGATTAATACAAATATAAAATATATAAACAACAGAATTACATCTATAATGATTCGAACATTGTCAGCTTTCGTATTATTTATTGAAATTGAGAAATATAAAAATTTGAGTAAAACAATTCAATAAAAAATTCAGTTTACACCTCAAATATCTGCGTTCGCTCTGACTGGTTTGCCACATCCAGAGACTCTCTTAGAAGTAAGTTGCTACGTCTCGTTCGATGTAATTGTCCTGGCTAGACGAACGTATTCCGCCAAGACCGAAAAAAAAAACATTGATCCGGTGTCTGTGACAAAGGTTATGTTATTAGGTGCAAAGGAAACCCAATCGCAACCGTTGACACACGTCACACGCGAGCTGAGACTGATTGAAATGCCGTTTCAAAAGAGCAAGGCGCGTTCACAGTGTTTCGCAAGCTTTTCTTTAATCTGAACAGTGCTACTATCCAAACATCTACGATTCTGATGTCCCAGTTCGCGGCCCATAAACGGCTTTCTCTGCGTGCACTGAGACTTCAGGAGCACAAGAAATTAGCACCGCAGTTGCCATTCACAAATTCATTACATCGGCTTCAGCATCCCCGATAAGCGCTGCTTTAATATAAAAAAAAAGAAAAAAAACAAAACAGGTCCGTTCTTTTTTTCGGTTTGGAAAAGATCCAGGGATAGAGAGCGAGCGTCGTGTACCCTGCAGTTTATGTCCGCGACGACTGTACTACAAACTTGAGCTGGGCGTCGGGTCAGAATTTCGATTCAATTAATTGCCACCCTTTAATCGATTACTTAATCCATTTATGGGTTTCGTTCATTCCCATGCATAATGCATGTAGTTGAAAAAAAACCACAAAATTACATTTTTCGCCTATGCTAATAATGTGATAAAGAGCGCAATGCACTATTTTTGACTTTAGATGAAGCTTCAAGTTTAGTTAAGAAACGTCAGGCTTCCAAACACACAACTGATTACTTAGGCCTCAGAAGCAGGAATTCGTTGATATACTCCGGTAAAAGCAAACTCCCTTGATTGTTTACAACAGTCTCTGCTCAGCTAAACGGATAATCGCACGGCGTTGTTCTTTCTGGGAGAGGCATAACTTACTGCACCTGTTTGGAGTTACAAATCTCGCCCTCATAGTTTACTCCAGAACAAAATTTCACTTAAAATATACCTTCATGTACTCAACCTCGTCTCTGTTGTAAAGGCGTTGGTTTTTTACATCTGTTTTGTTTGTCAAAAATTAACCGATCACCCTCTTAAAAGTAATCGCGATTAAAAGATTAATTAAACAATTGGTGAGTTAATCGATTAAATGCCCTGTCCTTCTACAACCGCAAGCACTCCTTTGAACACTCAAGGAATCTAAGATTCTCTGCATGCCTTATAGGCCAAGTACGCGATAAGGATAGTAATCGAAGATAGGATAGCGTAGAACGTTGGGAAGCTGCGATTCGTCATTTCGAAGCTAGTGCAGCTACTATTCAGGGGATAGAAAACTCTTCGTTCTGTTCCCAAGATAGCGTCTCTAGCCCCTGCCCAAGGATGCGGCCCTTCGAGTCTGTACTGGTACGGGACGGTAGGTCCCAGCAGAGCCCTGAACAACTCGTAGTCGGTGAAGAAGTATTTGAGCAGCTTCGGTCTGGCGCCGATCTTGTCCGCCAGTTCGTCCATATGCCGGACCCAGTCCACCTGGACTGTGTGGCGGGGCCAGTCGACGAAACGCCGTCGCAGGGCTGCCCTGGTTCTTGCGATGTCCTGGTACATTTCGGGCTGCGGAGGAAGCTTGCACTTGCCGGCCAGAAGCTGCGCCATCCAGCGGGCCTGCGGGGAATTATGCACAGTACGATGTATTGCAGAGCCTCTTATGGCGCATTCATACTGAACGCGGTTGTTTAAAGTTTCAGTACAATTGCACGCGCATTTGATGACATCAAATGCGCGTGCAATAGACCGATCTCACTAAGCGTTGGGCGCATGTGTAAAGTCGCCATAACTTTAGTTCACAGGAGGCAGACGCAGTGGCGTAACGAGGGTCAGCGGCACCCGGGGTGGTAGCCCGCTGCGACACCCCCCTAAGCGCTGCCCCCGGGGCGGTCCGCCCCCCCCCCCCCCCCTTGTGACGCCACTGGGCAGACACAGCGAGGGCTCGTGCCTTCTCGTTGTCTACACGCGAAGACGTCCACCGAGGTTGTCGCACGTGCAAAAAGGCTAAAGTTCCCTCGATGCATTGCGGCAGCGGTGGCGTAGTCAAGCTGACTGGTGAGATCGGTCTATTGTACTGGATCTTTATACAACCGCGTTCGCTACCGCTTTGCGAACGCGGATCCGCTTCCAATGTGAATGCGCCCTTAATGCGCTAGACACTCCCACTTCTCGTGTATCATACAAAAGACACGGTGTTCGTTGCAGTGTTGCCTCAGTCCGGTGGAGGTGTCCATTGGAATGACGGTTTAAAGACCGGTTCTCCCATGCACCGAAGCGCAGATGTAGCGCTGCTCACGTGTCGTCAGCTACTTATCGTCTGCCCTGAGCAACAGTTGTGACAATGCGATACAACGCGGGTGAACGTTCTGGTCAGCACGCGCTTAGCGCAAGGTCAGCGCTACTAGCGGCGAGATTTTTTGGTAGCGCCCTCCTATGGTTTCCACTCGTGACGTCATTACCTTGAAAATAATAAGTTCGATGGTCATTGTAATCAGCACGGTGAAAGCTTGAAATCATTGCGCTCTTAATGCAACACTGCCATCACCGTCAAAATCAAAATTCTTACATTCATCTTAGTTCCGTCAAAGAAGAATCCTTTGCTGACGACATAGTCAGCATTCGGACAATCATGGCAGGCCGACCACAGCGACGGTTTCGATCACTCACTTCGCCAATGCTTTTAGCACTGCGCTGTATGTGTGAACAGGCCTTAATTTGGCTGAAGAGATCAATTAGTCCGGACGCTCCAATTTGGCTAGAGGCCCAGTTTGGCTAGAATCTCAAATTCGGCAGGAACGCTCTGATGGGGCTCGATGCTTGAGTGTCCCTCAATTATCTCGACTCAGCGGGAAGGTTTGAGTATGTATGTATATATATAGGGTGTTTCAGAAACCGCAGGCCAAATCGCTCCTGCAAAAACTACTTATCACAACGAAAAAAGGCTTGTGGCATTTTGGTCCTAGGCCAGGGGCCCATTTAAGAAAATTATTAAAGTCCGGGATAATCAACTTGTTAATTATTTTTACCTAATTAACTTTTTTAATATTGTGTTTTAGGGCATGGTTTAAATTAGAAAATTGCTCAGCATCATCGAAAACCACTAAACCAACAAATTTCAGAACGATAAGAAGCACGCAAAGCATTTTACGGCTTTCTGAAAAACCGCACAAATTCGATGGGTGTTTTGATATCGGTTTGTTATTGGAGCGCATCTCCGCCCCGACGGCACCGCTCCCCGCGAAGAGATAGTGCAACCAACCTCTGCTGCACTGTCATCGCGCGATGCAGTAGAGTCTGGTTTCACTATCTTTCCACGGGGCGCGGTGCTGCCGGGGCCGAGATGCGCTCCGATAACAAACCGAAATTAAAACACCCGTCGAATTTGTGCGGTTTTGCAGAAAGCCGTAACATGCTTCGCGTGCCTTCTATTGTTCTGCAATTTGTTGGTTTAGTGGTTTTCGATGATGCTGAGCAATTTTCTAATTTAAACCATGCTCTAAAACACAATATTAAAAAAGTTAATTAGTCAATATAATTAACAAGTTAATTATCTCGGACTTTAATAATTTTTTTAAATGGGCCTCTGGCCCCGGACCAGAACGCCACAAGCCTTTTTTCGTTGCGATGAGTAGTTTTCGCAGGAGCGATTTGGCCTGCGTTTTCTGAAACACCCTGCATATATGTGTAGTGAAGGAAGAGGGGATAAAGTGAATATTGAATTTATTGGATCAAAGTAAGAGAAAGCAAAAGAGAAAAAGAGCTGCCGAAAAATTGAACCATGAGCGGGGTTCCAACCCACAAGCTTCGCCAATACGGGGCGACGCTATAAAAGTGCCAATCTTCACCCATTCCTATTATATATATATAGGTATATAGGTATGATTTGTTGCCATATCTCCGATTCGCTTGGATGATTAAACTATGCCTGCATCACGCTTTAGCACTTCGATTGCAAATCACAACTTCGAGCTGTTGATAAAGCCTCGTGGCACATGGTAGCCACAATAGCCTGTCTTCATTTTTCATTTATACGTTGTTGTTTGTCTTCTTGAGCTGCTGGGCGCTCATCGTGCTCTATAATAAAACGGTTTATTACCTTACCCACATAATGAATTCAAGATAACCAGAGATCGGCACTTGCTTCATTACTGTCCACCTTCCACTTGACAAGGATAGGACGCCCTGGCTGCTTCTCTGTCCATCAACTAAAGCGCAACGCACACACACAAAACAACAGATGCATCAATCAGACAACAAAGCAGTGCCATAGAGACTTCTTATAAATTATTTAGGTACTAAAGACGTTACGATGAATGTCGCCACATAACTGTCATGATATCATGCGAAGCTAATCACAGTACAGTTTCTTGCTTAATGTTAATAATATGTCAAGATTTATTTTTTAATAAACGTATCAAATATCTTTTGTAGCATAAGCATATACATTAATTTTTATTCATTCCACCGCAAGTAAGATCTTAGGAGTTGGCCTCTCCAACTAAGTAACTGGTTTTTTTGCTTCCAATTCCTGTGCAACCACTCGTTAACATTACTGCACAGCACTGTTTTATTCCTTCAAACAATCAACGATTTGTTTCGTTGTTATTCATACATATGACAGGGCCACAAGAATGTTGTGACAGTTGATGTTCTAGTAATTTACAAGGGTAATTTCAGTAGCTTAATTATACATACCTTCTGAGGAAAATGAAGGAAACTGCGGAATGGACATTCGTGAATGTTTAATTTAGGTGTGAAATCAATGGTAAAATATAAAGTATCCCAGGAATATAATATTTGGATGTAAAATAAGTTTCAGTACCAAAGTGGATGACTTGTTGGAATTTCGAGGCATGCAATCAATAGGTGCGTCGTAAGAAACCTCAGCATCAAACAGGCCCTTTTTGTTCTCAATTAAACTTCAAAATATTTGCTTGCTCATTTAATTAAAAAAATGTGGAGTTTTTTTCTTCCGGACATGAACAAAGTATTTACTTTGGTACTTGATATGGTTGTAAGCTAGATAAAGCTGGGAAACAACCCGCCGGCAGCCTCAAAATTGCTGAGAAAGTTAGAGAACATGACTCAAGGACCGTGGAGCTCTGGGTTCAAGCCCACCTGGAGACGTTTTTTTTTTGTTTTTTTTTGTACCATTTGTAGTACATGATATATACTTTTCTTCTTAATTTTAACATGTTGACACATAATTTCCTCTGTAATTCACAGCTTAAAGCGCTTTTATTCCCATTTTGTGGCTCCCTTATGCAACAGCTTCTCGGTGAGCTATTGCCAGCTGTGCAAAGGAAGGGGCATCTTTCCGCCCTTTGCACACTGTAAACCTGTGGCTTACACAGCTCCAGCGGGTCGCACCTCGCTCGCTGCCTCCATCACGAAGCATGTCTACTGTACAAGTCATGCCACACCGTAAGGCCATACACGATCGGGTCGCAGCGCCTGGGACCATTAGTCACTGCACTCGGCTACGGTATGGTGGCATGGTCGGGGCATGATGCAGGGGTACAACTTGGAAATGCTGATCTTTGTTACATTTGACACACATTTTTGTTACTTTTGTGTTGAGTTATCAGCATTTTAAGAATGAAAAAGCAAGCAGCAGCGACAGCAAGAAAAAAATTAATTAAAACCACTCTCACCGAGAACCTATCACGAGTGCTAGGAAGCCACAAGGTATAATTAAAACGCTTATAAAGGTGAATTAGCGTATACATTATGTGCTTGTCCCTCAAAAATAGAAAAACAAGTCAAATATAATAAATAAGGGCCAAAACAAACATCAGGAGTACTTAAACCAGAACAAAGCAGTCTGTAAGTTCGAAATTTGACACCTCGAACCACTCAACCACCACCCCGATCTTATTTTCAGGTTGTTTATCGTGGCATATGAATCTCTTTCTCAACTGGCGGCTGCAGGAGGGATATCTTTATTTTCATTTACTTGACTATTTCCACCAAATTTGAGAAGGCACCAAGAATAGAACCTCATTTGTCAGCCGACGCACTGTGCTTGCATCAAGGCGAACTAGCCTGGCTTGCTAGGCTTATATTTTGTTTCGTTACCTTTACAGGATTCCATTGCCGCTCATCAAAAGAAAAATAACCGTGACTAAGTCTGACTTTTTCTGGTGCGCAGGTATCCTTGGCAGAAAACTCTGCTAAATGAAGCAAAATATATATAATGTTTTTTTTTTAGCAAAAACGCATTGTTTTAGCATGATGAACCACACTATTTGACTAGGGTGAAACAGAGAACGAGCCTGTTCACTTGGCTCTGTTTTCATCTCTCACATACACTATTTCTTGCCTTCTGTGGTCATGTATCAGGCATTTGCGTCTCTGTTCGGCCAAAGCATCTGTGTTAGTCTAAAACTGGGTTGTTTTGGATATGTGCAGGTATTCTTTGCTGCAAATGGCTGCCAATCACGAACACGAGTTTGTTCTCGGCCACCAAGAGCAAGAATTTTCAAGGTGAGCAATTTTCCGCCTATATGAGTTTTTTGTTCCATTCTTCTAGGATGCCATTTTCTATCTGTAGTGGTCTTGCATTAGTCTTGTTGTGTCTCCTCTGCGAAAAACACTCGAGTTCGACTACGACCGGG